GTCGCTGGTTTGATTCCCAGTCAAGGGCACATGCCTGGGTCGTGGGCCGGGTCCCCAGTGGGGGGGCATGCAAGAGGTAACCACACATTGATGTGTCTCTCCCTCTCCCTCTCCCCCTCCCTTCCCCTCTCTCTAAAAATAAATAAATGAAATCTTAAAAGAAAGACAGCTATGAGGTACTATCTTGCATTTTGGGGGGCTTGTCCTGCACCTGGCATCCTCACCCTCAAATCTCTCCCTTCTGTTTCCCAATGGCTGGGACCACTGCTCTCCATGTTGCTCAAGCCAGAACAGGCCTCCCTGCTCCCGCTGTCCCGCCCGGCTGGTGCGGCACCAGCTCTCGCTGGGGCAACAGCAGGGCCCCCGGGGCTACAGCAGGGCCCCCGGGGCTGGCCCCTGGGCCCAGTCTTGCCCCGGATGTTGTATGTGCAACTCTAGGGACCCACGGCAGCTGAGTAAAGAGGGCCAGGCCTGTGTGAACCGGCAGCGCGCCGCTTGCCTCTCCAAGCTACATGCAAACAGCCCAAGCGACCGCCACAGGTGTCGAAGCGAGCCTTCACGTGCGCCTTCATAGCCGTCCATCCTCAAAGCCCGGGGTGCCCTCAGCCCCTGGCCATCTGTGCCCTCACCTGCAACCCTGTCGCAGCGCCTCCCCTCTACTTGACCACACTGCCCAGGGGTTTCTGAACAACTAACAGACCAACTAAATGACTTGTGCAAGGTCCTCCAGACCACAACAGTCTAGGCCGGGGCTCAACTCTGGCCCAGGTCACAGCGCCGCTCCCGAGGCAGGGCCTGGGGAAGGAAGCTGAGTGCAGTGGGAATGAAGAACAGCCAGGACACGTCATTTTCCCCTTGGCTGGGGGTCAAGGGCCACCTTGACGGGCCTCACCTTTCCCCCTGGCCCTGGCCCCAAGACCGGCCGTGGCCACAGCTGCTGCCGTCCCAGCAGGCCGGCTGCGGCATGTCCTGCCCACACTGGAACACGCCCAGGAAAGGGGCTGTCACCTCAAGGCTCCCAGATAACAGCCTGGCACACAGGGATAAAACAGGGAGCCTCCCAGGCAGGTGCCCTGCACCTCCCTGCCCATCATGGCCTTCCTCTGGCTCCTCTCCTGCTTTGCCCTCCTGGGCACAGCCCTCGGTGAGTGCAAGGCAGGCGGAGGCCAGGGTGCTGTCTCCCCAGCCCTGAGGCCAGCAAGGGGCCGCACGGTCCCCACTCCCGGCTCAGCCGCGCATGGTGGTGTGAGCCTGAGCGAGCCGCTGCCCCTCTGAGCCTCCCAGCCCCATCCCTGTAACGGGGACACAGGGAAGGTTGCATCAGACCAGCCAGTGTGAGGCCTTTGGGCAGGAGGTGGCTGTTCTCAGGGCTGCCCTCACATCCTGCACAGGGGGCAGGGAAGACAAGTCCAGAGGGACAAAAAGGTGTCTGAACAGTTAGTGGGTCCCAGACAGACTCAGAGAGCGAGCAGGTGGACAGCCGCTACCAGCCCTTTTGGGCCCTTGAACCCAGCTGTTTTGAACTTGTTTGCTGAGGGCTTACTATGTGCCAGGAACAGAACAACTTCCTGCTTTGCCTGCTAACTCATCTTATATCCTTATATCAACTCCGTGAGGTTAGCGACAGTGTGGCCCCCATTTTGCTGATGGGAAAACTGAGACTCAGTGGTTAAGCCAGGCAGGGACCGGGCCGGGCTCCCACTGCAGAGCCTGGCCTCCCTGCCAGGCTCTGGCCCGGCGCCACCTCCCACTCAGGGTGCTGGGTTTGTCTGAAGCACGTGGCTGACCGAGTTGTCCCTGGAGAATTCCCAGGGCGGAGGGGCCTGAGTAGGGGGCCAGAGTCGACCTTGGACTCCACCCCTCACCCCGTACTCCTGTCCCCAGGCTGCGGCGTCCCCGCCATCCAACCCGTGCTGAGCGGTCTGTCCCGGATCGTCAATGGGGAGGATGCTGTCCCTGGCTCCTGGCCCTGGCAGGTGTCCCTGCAGGTGAGGGGGGCTCTGCCTGTGAGTGGGGGGCACATGGGGGTGGTGGGCCTGCTGCGCCCAGTCAGCGCTGACCTCTCCATCTTCCTCCAGGACAAAACTGGCTTCCACTTCTGCGGGGGCTCCCTCATCAGTGAGGACTGGGTGGTCACCGCTGCCCACTGCGGGGTCAGGTGAGGACCTGGGGTCCCCAGGAAACCCCCTGGGGTGGGAGGAGGCCCCTCAGGACTGAAGACTTAGTCCTTTAATTCCATTCCTCAGTTTCCTAATTTGAAAATGTATACAAAAGTCAAGTCTTGCTAGTCCCCTAATGGGTCACTGGGAAGGACACACGTGGCAGGCAAGCTATAGGCTTAATGTTCTGAGCTCCCACCTCCGCGGTCAGCGCCACACACAGGTATGCGCGCACATAGTTGTAGACCTGCATGCGCATGCACTCACACACACACAAGCACCCTGCACCGCCAGCAGGGCCCCAGCACATCACAGCGGGGACCCCTCCTTGCTCTGGCCCTCCCCAGGACCTCCCACCTGGTTGTGGCCGGGGAGTTTGACCAGGGCTCAGACGCCGAGGACATCCAGGTGTTGAAGATTGCCAAGGTACGGCGGCCCCTGGCATGGTGGGCCTTCGTGAGTTGCAGCCCAGGCTACAGGGGCTGTGCCAGCAGGCCTGAGAGCTGCCTGGACTTGGGGGGAGGAGGGAGCCCCAGCTCCTCCTGATCACCCTGACACCCCGTCACAATGGGAACAGGAGAAAGCAGGGCGTGCGAGGCTGCGCGTCGGGGTGGCCTGGGCTCCCAGTCCCACAGAGCGGGCTGGCAAGCCGGACAGGCCGGTGTTCAGAAAGGGGGTAGAGGCGTTGAGGGGCAGCCCAGCACCATGTCCGTTTTTTCTGACCCCAACTGTGGCTGCTGCCCCACCACAGGTGTTCAAGAACCCCAAGTTCAACATGTTCACCATCAACAACGACATCACCCTGCTGAAGCTGGCCACACCCGCCCGCTTCTCCCAGACCGTGTCCGCCGTGTGCCTGCCTGATGAGGCTGACGACTTCCCTGCTGGGACACTGTGCGCCACCACGGGCTGGGGCCTGACCAAACACACCAGTGAGTGACCCCACGGTGGGCAGGCGGTGGCGGCTGCGGGCAGGGCGGGCTGCAGCTGCTGACCACCACCCACCCTGCCTTTCCAGATGCCAACACCCCTGACAAGCTGCAGCAGGCGGCCCTGCCCCTTCTGTCCAATGCCCAGTGCAAGAAGACCTGGGGCAACAAGATCACCGACCTCATGGTGTGCGCTGGCGCCAGCGGCGTCTCCTCCTGCATGGTATGGCCTCCGAGGCTCACTCTGCGCCCCTTCCCTCCCAGCCTTCGGTGGGTTCAGGCACAAGTCCAGGCTAGGGGTGCCAGCAGAGAGGAAATGGAAGGGGCAGGCTCTTTTCTAGGACCTGCCTCTTTCTTCTTGAGCATTCCTACCTGAGTCGTTGGGATTCTGATGGAGCATCAACGACCTTGGCAAAGTGCCAGACAGGGGGGCTCTGGTCTTGGAGCCACCACAGTGCAAAATTCCAATGACAATGCTGACACCTGAGCAAGTGGCGCCTCCCGGTGCGCAGCCTGGGCAGTGCAACAGTGAAGCCCAGAAGGCCTCCCGAAGCAGCCCTTCCTCACAGGGGCCCCAGGGCCGGCACCAGCCGCGCTTTCCTCCTATCAATCAAACCAACTTCACTGAGCCTACAGAACCTCACCCCGGGCGGTTCTTCCGGGCGCCTGGGGCCGACTTCCCAGGTGCACAAACCACAGGAGCCACTGCCTGGGTTCCGCTCACGATCCCGCCAGCACGGTGGTGCTGGGTCTGCGGGACATCAAGTCCCAGACTGGGCTCTGGGAACAGTGCTCAAGGGCCTCTGGGCTGCCAGGTCCAAGCCCCTTCTCCTTCTCCTGCAGGGCGACTCTGGCGGCCCCCTCGTCTGCCAGAAGGATGGAGCCTGGACCCTGGTGGGCATCGTGTCCTGGGGCAGCGGCACCTGCTCCACCTCCAGCCCCGGCGTGTACGCCCGTGTCACGGAGCTCATGCCCTGGGTTGAGGAGATCCTGGCCAACAACTGAGCCCGTGGCCCTGCCTGGTCTCCCTGCCACCCCTCCCCACAAAGCCTTAATAAACCTGTTATAACACATTGGTGATGTCTGTGTCCTGTGTCGGGGCCTGAGGCCTCGCTCTGCTCCTGAACTAGGGCCTGCGCTGGGCCTGGTGGCAGGGGGTCTCTGGGAGGGCCTCTCCTTAGTGTACGTCCCCAGAGACAAGGGAGGCGCACACAGATGAATGGGACCTTGGCCCAACGCTCCCACCTGGGCTGCGGGTCCTCCTCACCCGCCTCCCGTTCAGCTGGCTCGGGGCTGGGGCTGGGGCTGGGGCTGGGGCTGGGGCTGGGGCTGGCGCTGGCGCTGGCGAGTGGCATCCAGAGGACAGGCCTGCTGCGGGCCCCACATACCGCTGGTCCCAGGAGCGCCCTCTCCCAGGCCCACGTGGGGGGACACTGGAAGGGACCCACCGCCCTCAGTGGTTGATGAGGGAGCTGCTGCCCTTTCCCGACTGCTTCTGTCCTGATAAAGGACCAGCCGGTGGAGCCGTGGCCTGGGCAGAACTTAGGGACCCGGAGGAAAAAAACGGCAGAGCCAGCCGCCGGGAAGGGGAGGCCAGGCCCGACTCCCAGACGCCAGAACCAGACCTGGGCGTCCGACTCCCAGCGCAGACTGCACGGCACCTGGGAGCACCCCGGCGCCTCGGGTCCTGCAGCCCCTCACAGACCTCGCCCCCCGCCCCCGCCTCGGTGCCTGGGCCCAGTCGTTTCCCATGGCCTTGACTTTCTTCTGCCAGGACCCTCACCCTCCCAAGAGGCCACCCACAGCCTCACCAAGGGTCCCTTCAATCCACTTCTGTCCTGGGCATCCATGGTGGGGACAACCTGCGTTCCCACCCAAGGGTCCTCTTGCCCCTCACACCTCAGGAGGCTGCTTTTTATTTTTCAAATTTTATTTAAATGTAGACTATTAGCCAAATTATTGGAAAATCAATAATGAAAAATAGTTTTTTAGGGTTTTCTCCTGGTGCTGAGGAGCACACCACGGCTGCACTGACCCCCGGTGCGGGGGGAACATGGCATGAGGCTGCGGTCGGCCCCCAGCGGTCACCCAGGGCCGTGGGTCAAGGGGCCTGCGTACTCCTGGCTGGGCCACCCAGGGTCGGGACCCTCCCCAGGCCCGCGGTGCGCTCAGGGAAGCCCCCTGGCCTGCTCCGTGGCCTCCGCCCCCGAGGCCCAGCTCTGCTTGGGCTCCCGGAGCGCACATCCTGCCCTGCCATAAATATGTACAAATCCCTGGGCAGCCTAGGGCACCAGGCCCGGGTGGAGCTGGGGTTGCCTGTCCCCGCGCCTGTAGCACCGAGACTCTCGGGGAGGGTGCCCAGGGCAGCCTGGACCTCGCTGCCCTCCTCCCCCGCCCTCCGTCCCTCAGGTCATCTGTTCTCAGGCGGCGGCCAGCTGGCCCAGGACCCGGCGGAACTGCTGGGTGCTGTGGCCCAGCTCCTTGACCCTGTTCACCATGTCCTGGGCAGCGGTGGGCGATGGGTACTGCAGGGCGGCAGCCTTGGTGGTGGCCACGATGCCACGCAGGAGGTCGCACAACAAGTTGCTGTAGTGAGTCACCTGGCTGCGCACATCAGCAGCCTTGGCCTGCCGTGACAGCGTGTCCCCGATGAACACCAGCTTGTGGGCGCTGAGAATGACGAACTTGCTGTGTGCCACAAAGATCTTGGGTGGCTGGTTGGTGGCCACGGCGGTGAAGAAGGCATCCACCGCGTTGGTGAGCGTGGTCAGGTTCGCCTCGCACTGCTCCAGGTAGAAGAGCAGCAGCTGCCGGTCCGAGGGGCCCAGGCCACCCGTCCGCCCTGGGGCCAGCGGCTGGGCCGGCGTCCAGTTGGTCAGGTCGTGGTCTATGGGTCGTGACACCTCCTGCTCCAGCCGCTCAAACTGCTTCAGCTGGGAAGAGGGAAAGTAAAGTGAGGCTGCAGACACAGAGCACGGAGGAACGGACAGGGCCGCACGCGGAGCCAGCGGCAGCGGAGCCGGCCGGCCGACTGGCGGAGCCCGCGGCCTCAGCAAGCAGCTTTTCCGGCTCTCCACGTAACCGCACCGATCTCACTGGTGATTCCATTTATGTAACGCGTTTTAAGTGACAAAATGATAGAAGTGGAGAACAAATGAGCACCTGCCCGGGCGAGGGCCACCCACCTCTGGGCCTGGGGGCTGCTCTCCAGTCAGTGGTAACTGTGGGGTGGGACCCGGGGGATGGGCACACAGGACTGCTCTGTGTTCTCTCTGCGACTTCCTGTGGACCTACACATTTTCAAAATGAGAAGTAAAAAAAAAAAAAAAAGCTCTTCCAAACATATACAATATAAGAAGATTCTAATACACCAAGCAGGAAAAAAGAAAAAAAAAGAGAAGAAAAGAAAAGGTAGCCATCACCTGAAATCCCATGCACCCAAAATAATTGTTAAAAAATCTGGTAAATTATCTTTCAAAACTATACATTAAAGTTATTTGCACATAAAATAACATAACGTCTTCAAAATAATTTGGGGTAAGAGGGGCCAGATAAAACAGGATTAGCTGCTGTGCTGAGAAAGGCTGAGGCTGAGGACCCGGAGGACTAGTTTTTCCAATTTTATAAATGTATTACATTTTTCATGATAAAAATTTTGAACAAAAGAAATGCCTTGGTATTTGTAAAATTTCAGAAAACAAAAAATTTACACAAAAAATTGGTAAATATTCCTCAAGATTTTTCCTTTGGATATGAAATTTTTTAATTAGGAAACTGGAGCCCTGGCTGGTACAGCTCAGGGGATTGAGCACCAACCTGTGAATCAAGGTCTTTGGGTTCGGTTCCCAGTCAGGGAACCTGCCTGGGTTGCAGGCCAGGTCCGGTTGGGGGCGTGTGAGAGGCAACCAGTCGATGCATCTCTCACACACTGACGTTTCTCTCCCTCTCTTTCCCCCTCCCTTCCCCTCTCTCTAAAAGTAAGTAAATAAAATCTTTGAAAAGTATTACAAACACTTAGAAAAAACTGGAAACACCATATGTAATATTTTATCACCTACTTTTAGCACCAATAACAGGGCAGTCACTTCATGCCAGCAAGTTTGTATAAAAGCACATGGTAAGAGGGAAATTTCCAATAGCAGTGACCTTGCCTGGGGCAGTAGCCTTGCCTGGGAGTCACTGGCGTGACCGACATGTCCTCACCAGAGCTGGTTCTGACCAGGGGACTGAGTGGCTGTGACCGGCTGTGCACAGACTCAGGGACGGACAAGTTCTATTCTACCCTCAGTGTCAAGCCTTAATTTAACTGGCAAAAGCAACATGAAACCTAACACTGGAAACTCTCTGACTTTCCCCCCTTAGGCAGCAGTGGTAAAACTCACCACTCAGCTCTCCTGTCTAGTAAGAGAATACACTCATTTTTGTTTGTTTTGAACTCTGGTGAGCCTTCTTCATTCTCTGACAATTCTTAATACAATAGCTATATAATAGTGTACCATACAAATGTTCATACTTCATGCAAACTATACTGTTAGACAGTTGTGGGGAGGGGGTTCCAGCTTTTTCACTGATAGGGAACTGGAGCAAGAAACATCCTTGTCAATACATTTTATGTACCTGTATTTTACTTGTACTTTTTGTCTCCTGACTAGAAACTCTAGATGTTTATAGAGTTTTTCCTACATAACCCTACCTTTTATTCCAGCTGCCTGTAACTTAGCTCTAAGCGCTCAATCAGATATGTGAAGAGAACTACATTCAGCACAGCCATGTTTACAAAAGTAACGTTAGGGCAAACCTAATTGTCCACCGACAGGAGACTGCTTAAATAAATGCTGGTAGAGTGCAGAGGAAATAAAGAGGATAAAGAGGATAAAATATATGGAGATTCCACATATTTTATATGTAATTATGAACATTCACCCCTTTGCTCACATCACCTATGTGCCGGGGCCTTCTCGGCCCCGTACCTTTCTTCACTCGTCACTCACTCCAGCCCTGGGAGCGACGCCACTACGACCTGCACTCTGCAGCCTTCGCTGTGTCCGGTCTCAGGGTGGGCCGGGGCGAGGGAAGCCTCACGGGTGCTATTGGTATTTATCTCGTGCTAGTCTATACTTTTTATTATCTTCATAATCAGAATGAAACTCCTTTAATTTTTTAACTTCTTCAAATGACCGAAAATATAAAGGAAACCCTATGTTTGCAGATAGTTTATCTGTAAACTGGGTACAATGTCAATGTTCAACAATAGATGTTATGTGGCCTTTAAAAATAACTTGTGAAGAATGTTTATGCCATGGAAAAATGCTTGAGGTAAAAGCAGACGTAACTGTTGACAAAGTACCATGTTAAACACCCCTCTGGGCAGCTTTTTTTCTTTTTTATACTTTCCTGTATCTGAGCTCTAAAACATCTACCACAATTACTCTGATAACATCGACCCAATGGACGCACACAGATGGTCACCCAGGTGGGCGCGGGCTGGCTGGGCAGGGCCCGGAGACAGGCTCCGAGGGGCGGCTCTGCCGGATGAGCAGCCTGTGCGGGGCGAGGCCGGGGACCCTGAGGGCGTCCTCACCTGCTGCAGCTCCAGCTGGCCCTTCCCCTGCCGCATGATGTTGCCCTTTTCCAGCAGCTCCTTCTGAGTCTTCTCAAACTCTTCCTTCCCCTGGAAGGCAGACAAGGACAGGGCTGAGTGAGCCAGAAGCCCACGGGCCAGGTGCGGCGTGGTGAGATGAGTGGCCGCCAGGTCCAGGGTGGGGGCCGCCTCCATCTCGGGCCGGCACCGAAGGGCTGGGCACGCTCCATGCGGCCACGGCCGTCCTCCCTGCCTGGTCCCAGTGAGAGGCATCGCACCCACGCCCACCCGCGAGGCGCACAGGGCCTGCCCGCCTGCCCCTGGCCCCTGGCCCCTGCTGGCCCTCAGCCTGGAGTGCCGAGGCTGTCGGAGGGGCACCCACGTCTCTGCTCAGAGGCCTGCCCCTACCCTGCTAGAAGTTTCTTTCCCCCTGCTGGAAGTATCTTTGTCTTTGCTTATAGTTTGGAATCCACGCCCCCAAACACAACAGCCACCTCTGTCCTGGTCACCAGAGCCCAAACCCTGCAGATGTCCAAGAGCCATTCCTGGCTGGCACTGCAGGGCCCTGATGACGAGAACACCTTGGCCCAAAGGCCTGAGGTGGGGAAAGGAATCAGCCAGCTTCCGGGGGGCCGTCTGGCCTGGAAGGTCAAAGTGAGAGGAGGGCACAGGGACTCACCAAGACCCTGCTGGGGCCAACTCCTCCTTTGGCCACAAGAGCTGTCTGCGTAGGGAGGATGAGGGTCCCACCACAGGGGCACAGAAATCAGAGCTCCATGAGGGCCAGGGGGCTTCCCCAAGGGCCCCAGGGAACCTGGGCAGGGCAGGCACCCACCTGTAGGTGGACGTAGTCGTAATCCTCCATCCAGCCCCCCTCACTGTTCTCGTACTGCCCATCTGGTGAGTCCTGGGAGGTGAACTTGGGGGGTGAGGGCAGGGGCCGGGACTGGATGCTGCTGGCCTTGTCGGTGGGGTTGGGATGCGGGGAGCCGCCTCCCTCGGGCCCTGGGACAGGGGCCTTGGTCCGTCTGAAGAGCAGCGAGGCATTGCCATGCAAGAAGGAGGCCAGCTGCTTGGCATCCTCGGGCACGGCCCGTGAGCAGGCCACCAGGCGGTCCAGGTCTTCAGGAGTGGCCCCAGGGCCCCCTCGGCTACTGTCGACGGTCTGACCGTGGGCCATCAACGTCTGGTACACGTCCTCCATCTTTTGGAGCTGCCGGCTAAGCTTGGCATGCAGCGTGCGGTCAGAAGTGTGGGCAGCGTTGCCCACAGCACTGCGGGCAAACTCCAGCAGCTCAAGGACGGCCCCCTGGACGGCGGCCACGGCAGCTCGCAGGTCCGGCACCGGGGGCTCCTGAGGCTCGGTGCTACTGCGCCAGCCCCCACACCCGCCAGCACTGCCCGCCATGTCCAAGAGGTGGGCTACAGTGGTGCTCACGCTCTGCTGCAGCCGGGCCAGGGCCTCCACAGCCACCTCCAGCTCCAGGGGCTCGCGGCCCGGCCCTGGCGCCTCCAGGGAGGATGCTGACTGGCTGCTGCGAGTGCTGCCTGTGCTGGAGGCAGACAGGCGCTTGGCTTCGGCTGGCGCCTCCCGCTCAGCCGGTGGGGGCACCACATACACACCATCGTCAGCCCCGCTGCTGTCGGCCACCTCAGGAGGAAGGACCCGCTCGCGAGGCACGTCGTAGAGGGTGCCAGGGCCAGGCCGCCTCAAGCCAGGAGGCACGTCGTAGAGGTCGGGGGCAGGGGGTGGCACATCGTACACATCCTCAGTTGGCGGTGAGTCTGCAGGGGGTGCAGCGAGGACCAGCGGGTGGCGGGCTGGGTCGAAGGGCTTGGCCTTGGCAAAGGCAGGGGGCACGTCATAGGTTTCTTCACGCAGTAGTGGGCCATCAGGGACATCCTTGCTCACCGATGGAGGAACATCATACACCTGAGGGGCCAAAGGGCGGTCAAGGATGCCCGCCCGCTTGCCCACCAGAAGCCTAGGGACGGGACCCAGTCACGCACAGACATAGCCCAGTGCACATGTTCGTCACGATTCTCATCCATGCAGGTTTCAGCTAAGAGCCTAACTCTGGAGCCAGACCTGAGCTCAAAGTCCTGACTCCACTGCTTACTAGCTGTGACCTGAGGTAGGAGACCCAAGCTCTTAGTGCCTGTCTGCTCTACAGGATGGGAGAACTGCCTCACAGGTCTGTTGTGAGGATTACACAAGGTAGTTCGCTGTGCGACTTCGAACGCTCAGTGGGAGCTCAGCTCTAACACCACCGCCGCCATCACCTCCCCCCGCCCCGACCACATCGACCGCACCGCCGCCGCCTGTGTGTTCACTACTCGGCGGCAGGTATGTGGCTGAACCTTCTGCATTATTAGTCAGGGTGCCTAGGACAGTCCTGGTTTGTGTCTAATTCCCTCTCATAATTACTGAATACCCTCTTTTGCTCTCAGAAGTGTCGTGGTTTGGATGGCAAATTCTGTGGTCGCCTTGCTGGTACCCTGCGTGTTCCGCTCAAGCACCCGTGGAGAGGACCCTTTGAGGGGCCCTTTTACAGCTGAGAGAGCTGAGGCTCAGAGAAGCACCCATCACACAGCGAGAGGGACAAAGCCGGGGTCTGCAGTCAGGTCTCTCGGTGTCCCCAGACCTGCAGACATGGGTCTCCAGTGCCGTCACACACGTTCACAGTCACACCCCGACCCCCGAGCTCAGCCAGGACCCAGCCCGTGAGGCCCCAGCATCCCCTGCTGCTCACTGCGTGGTGGCTGGAGGGCGGCAGGCTCTTCTCCACACTGGGGGGCACGTCATACACGTCCAGTGATGGGTCCCAGCCATTAGGACCCTTGACAGCCATGGGAGGTGTGTCATATACCTGGGGGCAGAAGAGGTGCAGTGATACGAGCGCCAGGGCCTCCTAAGGAAATGGAAAGAGCTGAAGCTCCACCGCACCCACCGCAGGCCCACCCTGCCCTGGCCATGACTGAGAAAACCCAGCTCCCTGAGCAGGGCCGGCCTGAGTCACCCCCACTCCTACCTCCTGGCCGTACTGGCTGGGAAGCAGCCCTCGAACAGGGGGCACGTCGTAGATGTCCTGGGGTCCTGGGCCCAGCAGGTGGCGTGGGATGTCGTACTCGTCCTGCTCCGGCTGGGAGGCCTCAAACACGTAGCCCTGCCCCACACGGGTAGGCACCACCACCTAGGGACAGATGGCTCCCTGTCACCACCAGCCCTGGAAGCCAGGCTCCAGGGCCCAGCCTCAGGTCCTCAGGGAGATTCCACTCCTCCCGAGAGGTGACCAGGACACAAAGTGGGGGCTGGGGGGTGCCCCAAGGGCGGGCCCAGAGGCCACACTAAGGCAAGGGCAGTCTCATCCTCTTGTCTTCTCTGCCATTTCTTCAATGAAATGCAATGCCTGGGGAATACCAGACCCGGGGGTTTACTCGGAACAGAGGCTCTAGCCAGGACACGGAAGTGGTCTGTACAGCTGGCTGACCCAGACGGTTTCAGAGCGGGTGCTTATGGGCTGAGGGAGGGTGGGCCACCCTTGAGTGGGGTGCCCCTGCCTCAGGACTCCTCCCAGCTGCACCCTCTTCAGAAAGGTCTGCCAGCATGGAGCCGTCCCGACCGCAGGCCCAGCAGCCACCTTTCGGACCCAGGACAAACGGAGGTGGTGGTGCCAGGCTGGGCCCTCCTCAGGCTGGGCCCAGAGGAGGCGGCCTGCAGGAGACCCCAGCCACCAAGCCTGGGGCCACCAGGGAGGTAGGGGCCTGGCAGAGTGGCAAGCAGGCCCCGTGCCCCCCAGCATTTCTTGGGGAGATTCCTGCGGATAGGGCCAGTAGGGACTTCCAGACCTCAGAGCCCATTCTCAGGCAGATGGAGGGGCAGGGTGTGGGCATGAGGGAACAGCCAACACTGACACCAAGACCCCCATTCCCACAGGGCCCCGAGACCACCACTCACCCGAACAGACCGCAGCCCAGAGAGGAGGCCGGCCTCTCCCCTCCTCGGTGCCCTTCCCCCGGCCCAGAAGCCAGAGCTGCGAGCTGCCCACAGCCCTCCCTGCCAGCACCCTGTCCCACAGGCTGTGCGGGCAGCCAGCCTGCCTCCCTGCAGGCACCCGGCCCCGTGGGAGGGTCAGCCTGCGTGGGGGTTGGCCCTACGGGAGAGGCTGGCAGGTCTCCTAAGCCAGCTCGGCACGCCTCCCCCACACGCCTCCCCCACACGCCTCCCTGCCCTGCTCTGCTCTTCTCCGACAGAGAGGCCTTTTGTTTCTTAATCAAAGGGGACGTCTGGGACAGGGTTGACTCAGGCCCTCCCCACACGTATTCCTGGGGGCAGCAGGGCTGAGGCAGGGCTCACCCTCAGGCTCAAGGCCCCGGGAACCCTGTGTCTGTGCTCGCTCATGCCCAGCCCCCAAGACACTGACAGCTGCCAGGGGTGGCAGTGTCTCCCCAGAAGCGCAGACACCAGCACTTTTCTCATCAGCCCAGAGCTTGGCAAAGCATCCTGCTCCGACCTTCGCTGCCGGCTCCCAGGCAGCCGGCGCAGCAAAGCAACCCTGGGCTCTTGGGCAGGCTCCTGTTGGCTGCTGGGGCGGGCCTCCGCGGGGCGTCCCCCACCCACTGCCCCCCGCCCCAGCGTGTCTGGGAGTGGAGCTGGCGGCTCTCCCCAGACTCATCTCCCTCCTTGAGCCCCAGACTTGAGTCTCCTCCAGCGCTATTTTTAGATACTGGAACCTGCCAACAGGCAGGCGAGCGGGGGCGGGCGGGGGCGGGAGGGATGTGGCAGGTTGGCAGGGCCTTGAGGCATGGCCTGAGCGCCTCCAGGCTCCACCGGCCTCCGAAGGGCAGGTGGGGACCCGGCTTCACGAACAGGGTTTTGCACCCAAGCGCCCCTCAGCCTCCTTCAGGTGAAAGAGGGCAGGTAGTGCAGGCGGAAGGGCTGTAGGGGCTGGACCCCAGGCCCTGGGCCCAGGGCAGCTTGCCACTGAGTTGGTGACAGTACACAGCCATATTGGTCAGCAAAAGTTTTTCTGGTAGGAAAAAACCAAAAAGCAAAAAACAACAACAAAAAAAACTCCAGCACGGAAGCCGCCAGTGGAGAAGAAAGCTCATTAGGGAAAACATCTCTGCAGAGAGCTGCTGAGCCTGCTAATCAGAGGCTGCACTGCTCACGACCTGGGGCCCCATCAGCAGGACCTGGGGGCCCCCGGGGATGAGGGACACAGCCAGGGTCTAGGGGGAGGCACAGTCCCCAACCCAAGACCCACTGCTCTCTCATATACACACCTCGGCATGCAGAAGGCTGACACACAGGCAGGGCCCCTCAGGGCATCGGCAGAGCCCAAGTGAGAAGTGGAGCTAATGGCTACCAGCACCCAGTGAGATGGGACAGGCCCCCTGCCCGGTTCTGCCTGGGTGACCAAGACCTCCAGGCAGCTCAGCTGCCAGTCTCCCCCTCCTGCAAAAGGGTCACTGACTCACATGTGGCCCAGGCTGACTGGCCTTGACACACACCCACTACACCCCCATCCCAAAGCTTGGTTTCCTCCTCTGAGAATGGAACAACACTGGAATGCTGTGGGACAGCGTAGGTGACCATCTAACCTCTCACTGAGCGCGAGGGACATACCTGACACAGGTCTCCTTGCTCCTGATCCCCCACGGCCCAGTGCCAGGAGCCTGGGGGGAAGACAAAGCTCCCAGAAGGAACAAAACTGAGCTCAGCCATGTCCCCCCAGTGCCTGGCCCAGCACCACAGCTGTTCCTGTAGGCGCAGGTGCAGCCCCTGACCCAGAGGGACTCCCCCAAGAGTGACCTCGCAAAATGCTGCCCCCCCCCGCCCCACCTACTTCTGCCCTCAGCTTCCTAAAGCCACATCCCAGCCCAAAGGGGGCGGACCTCAAGCCACTCAAGCCACTATGCTCCAGGCATCTGACCCCTTCTGACTACTGGCCTCACTCACCTTCCAGAGTCCTGGGTGCCAGGGTCCCAGACCCCCAACTGACGTCTGGGCAGGGTTCCTCTGCAGTCCACCCAACCTCTCCCCCGGAAGCAGGGGCCTGTCTCCCAGACTCCTGACGGGAGGGCGAGGCTTATGAAAGCACAACCTTGAAATGTGGGCACAGATGTGTGCACGCCAAGATGTCTACCACCTCACTGTTCATCAGAGATACGCACCATCAGAGACTGCCTGGAGCCTAACCCACGGGAGGGGGCAACAGGGCAAATTCCAAAGCAGCAGTCACAGTCATGTTTGGGGACCCAAAAGTGCTTTTGATAGGAGATACTGGATTTATAACCTCAAAATTGAAAAGTATGTGTACAAATGTGAAGGACAAATAGAGAATATGCTAGACGAAATATGCCCAAATTTCCCAGTGATTACCTCTTGATTGGAGCATCTTATGTCTAGGCTTTTTCATATATTATGTATTTTTTATGACAAACAAGCATCATTTTCATGATCATGAAATAAAAGTAGATAAAATCAAGGCTGCCCAGACCGGGATCCATGAGGCTTCCCGGCCAGGTGAGCCCCGAAGCAGACTGAAAGCAAGCCCCTCCTCGAGTGCAGGGGAGCAGAACCAACGACCGAAGCGTGCACCTGAGTCCGCGGCCCACACGATGGTCCCACTGCTGCTTCCTAGCCCACAGGGTTTCCACTGCCTGTTCAGCCTCCCAGATGCACCAGAACAGGCCTGACGGTAGAGTCAGGAAGGGAGGGGAGGGGAGAGCGGGTGAAGGGTGTGCCTCCCTGGGGTGCGGTGTGTGGAGCGTGGACTGTGTGTGTGTAGGGGATGAACTATGGCCTGTCCCAAGGCTCACCAGCTCTGTACTGCTCCCTGCCACCTCCCACAGGACAGTGCTTCCCAGGCAGGGCTGTGCTCCTCCCACAAAAGCTACTTGCGAGCAGCCTTAGTCTGGGCTATCCCAGTCCAGCATGGCACGCTTCTGCCACCAGACTGTCTCTGGCCAGGCAGCTGAAGGAGCAGATAGGGCAGGAAGTGGGAGCCAGTGACCCGGGGTTCACTAGTAGCCAGCATCCATGGAGCCCCACTTTCAGCCAGCCAATGACCTGTGAGCAGGGGCAAGTCCCCCCCTCAGCCCTGCACTGGCCCCGAGGACAGGCTCAGTGCTGTGCAGTGTCTACTGGGTTACTGTCTCTCCAAACACAGGAGGCCCGCGATACAGAAACAAGGCTGGGCCTGGGCCCAGGGAAACTGATCCCGGCAGAGCGCAGTTGCGGCGCCCACCACCCGATCTCTCCCACCAGGCCGCGTCACACCACCCACTGCGCTCTCCCTCTGCGGAGCGGGGAGCTGGGAAGCTGGGGCTGGGAAGGCTGTGAGGGCCTTGGTGTGGGCTGTTTCCCAGGGTCCTCCCAAGGGACCCACGCCCTACCATGAGGACTGTCAGAGCAACAAGACGGAAGGGGCCATGGCCCCCGATGGGCATGGAGGTGTGTGTTAGTGCTGCTCCCCTCACCTCCAGACTGAGCTACGTGAGGAAAAGCACGTCTCCTCTTGTTCAGTCCATTCTTCTGGGATTCTGGCCGCGCTCCCCCAACTGCTGCACTGCCCTCCACACGCGGCTTCTCCGCTTCAGGTGCCACCCAGCACTCCCAACCTCCCTCCCTCCCTCCCCTGGGCTCCCTGCCCCAGCCAAGGCCCCTCAATGCTCCCTGTACCCTCCACTCCGTGGAAGGAATGACGTTACTAGGGCGAGGATTGGGAAGGTCACTCCTACTCAAAACCCTCCACCTTCAGGAAAGCATCTGGGTCTCAGGTGCCCTCGGAGCCCTGGCCCCACCAGCCAGCGCCACCTGCCCATCACTTTCCATACCTCCAGGCCTTTGACAGGCTTCGCCCTCTGCTAATGCCACCTTCCCACCAGAGTCTGTCTGCTGACAAACACCCCATGGTCCCAGGCCCACTCGGAAGTCTCCTCTCTGAATTGGCCCAGCCTGTTCACGCCCATCAGCAGCAGCAGAATGAACACATTCCCCACACACTCACCTCCTACCTTGGCCCCCGAGGCCCCTGCCGGAGCCCTAGACAGCTCAAGGGTGCTTGACTGGGCAGAGAAACCTGGGCCTGGGCGATACCCACCAGGAGGGCTGCCCAGCCCCGCCCAGGTGGCCTTACCTTTGCCGGTGGCTTCGTCCCCTCCCAGCTGCGTGCATCCATGGACGGAGGAACCTGGTAGATGTCATGCCCCATCCCAGCAGAAGGAGGCACCTGGTAAATATCCTGGGTGGAGCTGCCAGGCCCTGGAGGCACCTGGTAAAGGTCTGCGGCTGGGCTGGGGAACGGGTGATAGGGCATCTGCTTCGAGAACGTGGACGCCTGCTTGGCTGGGGGAGACTGGGACTGTGGGCTGGGCCCAGGGGCTTGGTAGAGGCCCTGCTGGGTCTTGCTCGGGGTGGGCACCAGGTAGACACTATCAGGCTGGGGTGAGTAAGTGACAGGCAGCATGGGCGTGTACTGGGCCGTTGGGTTGTGGAGGCCCGGCTGGGGCGGGGCCAGGGGCGCAGGCGGGCCAGGGCCGGGCCCTGCAGGCTTCTTGTCGTGCATGCCCACCAGGATCTTGAGGCGGTTCCCGGGCACAATGCCTTGGCGCCCGTGCAGTGAGCAGAGCCACCAGCCGTCCAGGCCCTGTGTGTCCCGCTCCAGCACCGTCATGATGTCGCCCTTGCGGAAGGAGAGCTCATCCGGGGACTCGGCCACGTTGTCATAAAGGGCCTTGGCCAGCACATTCTGGGGAGAGAGGACACAGGTGGGCATGAGGGTAGGAGGATGTGTGTGGGGTCTCGGCGGCTGGCCCCGCTCCCCCGCCTCTCTAGGTCGCGGGAAGCGTCTGGCCTTAGGACCGGGAAAGGAACTAAGTAGGGTTTGGCACAATCCTGGCACCTCTGCCGCCACGGCCTCCAGCAGAAAGACCCGGCTGATCCTGAAATTTTTTCCAAAGAGGCCTGGACAGCACCTCAAAATCTTAGTCATACTGCAACCTGGACCAACACTGGAGAGGGCAGTGATAATGACCATGATGGCTGCCACATTCTGGGAAGAAAACAGGATGCACACCCTCCCTGTTCCAACTCAACAGGCCTGCTGCCCCGCCGGTGCGATCAGCCAAGAGGAAAAACTAAAGACAGAGTGGGGAGGGGAGGCAGGGACAAAACGGCCGTCGTCTAGGTAAAAATCCCAACACAATGGGAGAATCCACAACTGATGAGAATGACAAGTCATAGAAAAGATGTCACATGGTAATAACAAAAGCTACAAGTTATCCAAGACTAATTGAGCAAAGACTGCAGGAGACCTCAGAGAAAGAAATGTTTACATTCTGCCACAGGGCTCCAGGAGAAGCCAGAAGGGGGGAAAATGCACCAAGTTCGGGTGCAATGACTAAGTGCTACAGGAGACCAATGAGCCCAAGCTTACTTAATAAGTTACAATTACAATCAAAGTGACAGCAGACATTTTTGTTGTTGTTGTTGAGGGATATGATCAAAGAAAACAAATCCTTCTAGAATTAAATGGAGAAATAAGAGGTCCACAAATAAACAGATTAATTTTGGAAGGGAAATCAAAAACACCAAGGGGCACTCTCCTTCCCAGCCACAGAGATGTGCCACAACTCCAAACCACTGAGGGGCACAGGGACCGAGAGCTGCGGCAGGGCGCCGGGAGGGCCCCCGCGCTGCAGGGGGCTCGTGTGAGTCACAGGTGGTGCCTCACAGCAACTGGGAAGAATGAGACCGAATCACAGATGACCTTAAAAATTTCACTCTGTAGGAAGAAAACTCCATTTGGACACTTGCCTCATGTTATAAACAAAGGGCAGTTAGAAGCCTAACTGTGAAATGGGTAACTCGAGAACTAATGAGAGAAAAAATTGTGGGAGGGTATCTTTGTGGCCTTGAGGTGGGAAGGAATTATAAAACAAAACCTCAAAAAACAAAGACCCCAAAAGCACAAAACAAGCTGATGACAACAAAGACAGGGTGAAAAGTCACCAAGTGACGAGAGCATGATTAATCTAGAATGGGGAGGCACTGCTACAAATCAGTAAGAAAAAGACAAGAACGCCAACAGAAAACCAATAAAACACGAAGAATGAATTTTCCAAAGGGGAAACAGAATGGCCAAGACCATCACAAAGGAAGCTCAGGGTCCAGGCAGCCACAAGGACACACTGGCCACTCTGCTCTGTGTGCCAGCAGGTGCTCGGGTGCCTGGTGAGGCCTGCTGGCCACACCTTCCGGGGTTAGTGTAACAAACGGGAGATCTACATTCTACGGCCCTTTACTGTAAATGTTATAAACATCTACAAAACAATGCTAAGCATTTTTCAGACACTTATCCAGGGAGATTCCAGACGCATTACGTTAGCATGGGTGCTTCTGGAAGAGGGACAGCAATGAGACACACATCAGGAACAGACGGGAAAAATAAAGCAAAACAAGGAAGGGCACGCTCTGACCCCACTCTTTGCTGCTGTGATTCTCCCGCTAATTCGCAGAGCCACCCGGAAGCGAGCACTGACATGGGGCTCCATGAGTCAGCAAGCCCCCCAGAGCAGGGATGCATGCTCCCTGCGGCCCAGGCACAGGAGAGGCCCCAGGGAAGGCTGTGAGGTCAGAGGTGGAAGGGCCAGAGCCCTGGGGACACTGAGCTGCAGGCCCAGAACCTCACTGGAGGCAGAGAATCCAGGGGCCAGGAGGCCTTGAGTTTCCGGCCACCCACCCCTGATTCTGCTGCTCCCCTTGCACAGGTGCCAGGCTCATGCTGGGCTCAGAGATAGCACAGAAGGTCCCCCAGGCAGGACAGCCAAGGTCAGTTGCAAGGAGCTAAGGCAGCACTGGGAGAGAGGAGAGGTCAGGTTGCTTTGGCCTTCGAGGGCCGCAGAGGTCCCGGCCTCACACACGGGGGAAGCCACGTCTGAGGAGAGGACAGTGCCAGGTCAGGTGCGCTCCCGCCCCACCAGCTAAGCCTCAGCTTTGGCTGTCCTCCTCTGAGTCTCCTGAGGTCTGAGGACACAGAGCCTGGTCTAGACCCCTGGCTTGGGAATGGGACCTGAGCTCTGGCCGCCCACTAGCTGTGTGACCTTCCCCACCTGGGCCCAGTCTCATCCCCGGGACACCATCTGCAAGGAGTCAAGCAGGAGCTGGAATCCCAGGCCAAAGAAGAGCCACGCCCCCTCGGGCAGAAACAGGAAGTGGGAGCCTGGGCCCTGGGGCAGAGAAGAGTGAGGGTGAGGCCTCATCCCAGCCCAGGAGGACCCAGCCTCCTTCCTCCACACCAGCCTCCGCCCCTCTGAGCTCTGTCTTCCTGCCTGCCACACAGGACCAGGGAAGAGGCCTGCGCATCATCAAGTCCAGAAGCACGTGCTCCAGGCCCCAGGCCTGCATGCTCGGGTCCCAGGGAGCATCAGCTGGGGCCCCATTCCTCAGTGCAGCTCAGAGCCCCCGGGCCCCAGAAAGGGCCAGAGGCAGGAAGGTTGGGAGCCAAGAGGGGCAAGACCCAGGGGAGGAACCAGCCCAGGCAGGCGGCTCAGAGTTCAGGGAGGGCAGAACTGGTGGCATCACCCCAGCACGGAGGTGCGCACGAGGGTAGAGGCCTTTGGAACTGCTGATTGCTGCAACCCGTCCACAGAGATTACCAGTTACTAATGCATGGAAGTGTAGATTATGTCTCAATAAAACGTCACTCCAACTTCAATGATAGGGAGATGGTAAGAATAACAGTGTTAATGTTTGACATGATTGGGAGATGTTTTCTCTTCCTAATTTTCAGAATTTTTCTGTATGTATTTAATGAGCATTTCTCAGCTTCAGGGTTAAAAAAAATTACACATCCTGCAAAAGAAAACAGTGAACTACCTCCTAGGCTCCAAGGCAGGACGGGACAGAGGAGGCCGAAGCAAGCCCAGAGGCCAGAGCCCAGGGAGAAGGAGGCAAGGGCGGGGCTGCCCTGCGGCCCACTAGGGCTCACGGGCCCCATCCCCAGGCTGCCTGCAAGAAAAGCAAGTTTCCCAAATATGGTCTGCAGCCGGCTGCAGGCCTCAGGGAATCACATCCCGTCAGAGGGCGGGACACCAGGTCTCCCTCCCCCAGTGACCCCAGAACACAGAGCCACCCCACTGGGTCCCCCCAGCCCCTGCCCTGGTGACCACAGGAAGTGCCAGCTGAGTGAGTCACAGAAAAATTCCCCTCTGGCCCAGTCAGAGGGGGCGGGGCGCAGACAGAGGGGCTGCCCCTAGGAGGCCCCTTACCTCTCAGGAGGAGGGCAGCCCAGGGAGGCTGGCAGATCGGCCTCCGCCAGGCCCCAGACAGGGCTGGGCACTCGGGGAGGCTGGAGTGCTGTGGGGAGGGCAAGGTCCAGCGGGGGCGGGGGCAGGGAAAGCAGAGAGTACACCGGGCCGAGGAAGCTCCCAGGACCTCCAGTGCAAGGGTGGCTAGCCCCCACCACCTCGGAGCGAGCTCGCTGAGCAGTCAAGGCCAACTGCGGCTGCTACTATATAGTCTGGAGCGGCTGGAGCCAGGCTGGGAAGCACCTCTCTGGCTGAGCACGTGGCACTGGGCGCCTGGCACCAGGAGCTCCTCGCCTGCGTCAGCTGGTGGCCCTGCCCAGAGCCCCAGAGGCAGCCTCTCCACAGCACAGCCCGTGAGTCCCGGGCACTGCTGGCGCCGGAGCACTCCAGCTGGCTGCGCGCTGGCCCTGTGGGCCTCCCCAGCTGCTCCTGAGACAAGCTCCTCCTTCCTTCTCTCTCAGTCACTCAGCAGCAGCTAGGACCAGACCTGGGTGACCTCAGGCAAGCTCCATAGTTTTTCTGAGCACCCAGAAGCCCTGTGCTAAGATGACAGTCTGGTTTCACAGGATTGTCTTGTTTAACAAAAGATTCTCCTGGTTTTGTTCTCGGTCAGGTGGTGGGCCAGAGCTCTGCAAGGTGGCCCAGGCTGATCCTGACCCGGCCCCTGTCCACAAGGGGCGTACATTCCAGTGGGGCAGAGAGACACCAAACAACTTGCCCGGGCAGGGGACAGAAGTGCAGTGCCAGCATGCGAGGGGCCACCGCCAGGACCACCCAGCTGGCTGAGGGCAGATTAAGAGACTTCTAGCCAAGATGGAAGCAGAGGTAAGTAAACATATTCCACCTCTGTGTACAACTACAGCAAAAATTACAACTAAACTACAAAAAAAAAAGAAAAAAAATCACGCTGATTTGTCAGAAAATCGAGCTGTATGGAAGTCCAACACCCAAGGACTTAAAGAAGCCACATTTACCCAGATAGGTACCTCTTCTACAATAGTTCACGCTACTAAAACAGGGAGCCAGAGCAGCTCTACGTCATACACAGAAACAAACACGGGGAGGCTGCCAAACTGAGGAGGCAAGGGTATATGGCCCACATGAGAACAGAACAAAACTCCAGAAAAAGAGCTAAATGAAATGGAGATAAGCAACCTATCAGATGCAGAGTTCAAAACACTGGTTATCAGGATGCTCAAAGAAATCACTGGGTACTGGCAACAGCACAAAAAAGACCCAGGCAGAAATGAAGGCTGCATTAAGTGAAGTAAAGAAAAAGCCACAGTAAACAGCAGTGGAGGGGATGAAGCAGAGATTCAAATCAACAATCTGGAACACAAAGAAGAAAAAAAGCATTCAATCAGAAAAGCAAGAAGAAAAAAGAATTAAAAAACAAAACCAAACCAAACCCAGAATAGAATAAGGAGCCTCTGGAACATCT